CAAAGTCATAGGGTAGAAGATCATTATAAAAAACAAGAACGAAGGATAAAAATCATGATCATCTCAAGAGATGCAGAAAAACATCCGACAAAGCACAACATCCATTCATGATAAAAACTCTAACAAATTGGGCTTGGAGGGAACATACCTCAACATAATAAAAACCATGTATGACAAACCCAAAGCCAATATCATACTCATTGGTGAAAACCTGTGAGCTTTTGTCTAAGATTAGGAACAAGACAAGATGTCCACTCTCATTATTTTTATTCAACCTATTACTAGAAGTCCTAGCCACAGCAAAAAAGGAAATAAAAGGCATCCAGATTGGTAAGAAAAAAGTTAAACTGTCACTATTTGTGGATGACATGATACTATATACAAAAACCCTAAAGACTCCACCAAAAAACTATTCGAATTGATAAACGAATTCAGTAAAGTTGCAGGATACAAAATCAACATACAGAAATGTGTTGTGTTTCTACACACAAACAACTAACTGGCAGAAAGAAAGAAAAATCCCATTTACAAATGCATCAAAAAGAATAAAATACCTAGGGGGGTGCCTGGGTGGCTCAGTCGGTTGAGCATCCGACTTCAGCTCAGGTCATGATCTCGCAGTTCGTGAGTTCAAGCCCCACATTGGGCTCTGTGCTGACAGCTCAGAGCCTGGAGCCTGCTTTGGATTCTGTGTCTCCCTCTCTCTGCCCCTTCCCTGCTCATGCTCTGTCTCTCTCTGTCTCTCAAAAATGAATAAACATTAAAAAAAATTAAAAAAGAATAAAATACCTAGGAATAAATTTAGCCAAGGAAGTGAATTTAACCTGTACACTAAAAACTGTAAGACACTGAAGAAAACACAACAAGTGAGAAAATATACCATGCTTGTGGATTGGAAAAACAAATATTGTCAAAATGTTCATATTACTCTAGTAATCTAAAGATCCAACACAAAATACCCTTTCAAAATACCAACAGTACTTTTCACAAAACTAAAATGAATAATCCTAAAATTGTATGGAAACACAAAAGATCCTGAAAAACCAAAGCAATCTTAAGAAAGAACAAAGCTGGAGGTGTCATAATCCCAGATCTCAAACTATACTGCAAAACTATAGGAATCAAAATTGTATGGTATTGGGGCACTCGGGTGGCTCTGTCGGTTAAGCCTCTGAGTTCAGCTCAGGTCATGATCTCATAGTTCATGAGTTTAAGCCCCACATCAGGCTCTCTGCTGTCAGCACAGAGCCCGTTTTCAGATCCTCTGCCCCCCTCTCTCTCTGCCTTTATCCCGCTCATGCTTTCTCTCTCAAAAATAAACATTTTTTAAAAATACAGTATGGTATTGGCACCAAAAAAAAAAGACACATAAATCGACGAATAGAATAATGTCCAGCAATAAACCCATGCTTGTATGTCAATTAATCCACAAAAACTAAGCAAGAATATACAATGGGAAAAAGACAGTCTCCTTAATAAATGGTGCTGTGAAAACTGTACAGCTACAAGCAAAAGAATGAAACCGGACCACTTTTTAACACAACAATAAACTCAAAATGGTTTAAAGACCCAAATGTAATACCTAAAACCATAAAACTTTTAAAGGAAAACACACGCAGTAAACTCTTGACATCAGCCTTAGCCACATTTTTCTGGATCTGTCTCCACAGGCAAGGGAAACAAAAGCAAAAATAAGCTACTGGGACTGCATCAAACTAAAAAGATTTTACAAAACAAAGGAAACCATCAACAACAAAAAAAGGTAACCTATCATATTTGCAAATGATATATCTGACAAGGGGTTAATATTCAAAATATGTAAAGAACTCATACAACTCAACACCAAAAACCCACAATGATCTGATAAAAAAATCGGCAGACAACCTGAAGAGATATTTTTTTCCAAAAAAGACATACAGACACATGAAAACATGCTCGACATCACCAATTATCAGGGAAATCAAACCAAAACCCACAATGAGATATCACCTCACACCAATCAGAATGGCTAGTATCAAAAAGACATAAAATAAGTGTTGGCAAGGAGGTAGAGAAAAGCAAACCCTCATGCATTATTGGTGGGAATATACGTTGGTACATCCACTATGGAAAACAACATAGTTTCCTCAAAATATTAAAAATAGAAATCCTGTACAATCCAATAATTTCACTTCCACATTTACCCCCCCACAAATACTAATTCAAAAAGATATATGTACTCCTATGTGTACTTCAGCATAATTTACAATAACCAAGATACGGAAGCAACCAAAGTATCTATCAATAGATGAATGGATAAGGATGATGTAGTATATTCACAACAGAGTATTTTTTTAATGTTTATTTATTTTGAGAGAGAGTGCATGTGCACGTGTGCAGAAGTGGGGAAGGGGCAGAGAGGGAGAGAGAGAATACCAAGCAGGCTCCATGCTTTCAGTGCAGAGCCCAACACAGGGCTCAATCTCACGAACCGTGAGTCATGACCTAAGGCAAAATCAGGAGTCTGGCAGTTAACCGACTGAACCACCCAGGCACTCCCACAATGGAGTATTACTCAGCCATAAAAGAATGAGCTCTTGCCATTTGCAACAACATGGATGGACCTTGAAGGCATTATGCTGAGTGAAATAAGTCAGAGAAAGACAAATATCATATGATTTCACTTATCTGTGGAATCTAAAAATCAAAACAAGACAAACAGAAACAGACTCATAAATACAGACTGGCAGTTACCAGAAGCAGGGAATGAGAGGATAAGCAAAATAGGTGAAGGGGAGTAAGAGGTACAAACCTCCAGTTATAAAATAAATGAGGATAAAAAAGTACAGCATAGGATATGTAGTCAATAATATAATAACTTTGTGTGGTGACAGATGGTAACCACACTTATCCTGGTGAGCATTTTGTAACATATATAATAGTTGAATTACTGTGTTGTACATCTGAAACTAATATATAAACTATACTTCAGTTTTTTAAAATCCATTTGAAAAATAAAAACTATACGTTTATATATCAGCAATAAAAAATTGGAAATTAAAATTAAAAATAAATAGCACTTATAATAGCATCCAAAAAAATGAAATACTTAGGGATAACTATAACAAAGCATATATAAGACCTATACATTAAGGACACCTGGTGGCTCAGACTGTTGAGTGTTAGACTCTTGATTTCTACTCAGGTCATGATCTCGTGGTTCATGAGATCAAGCCCTACATAGGGCTCTGCACCGACAGTGCAGAATCTGCTTGAGATTCTCTCCCTCCCTCTCTCTCTGCTCCCCTACCTCTTACACATGCTCTTTCTATCTTTTTCTCTCTCTCTCAAAATAAATAAATAAACTTTAAAAAAAGACCTATACGTGAAAAAACCACAAAACTTTGTTTAAGGAAATTTTCAAAAGTTTAAATAAATGGACAGAAAAACCTTGTTCATGGACTAAATGACTAAATGACTCAAAACTCTTAAGATGCCTTTTATATAGGTATATGCGCATCTTATCATATGTAAAATTATACCTTAATAAGCTGATTTGTTTAAAAACTGATCAGTATATTTATTGTTGACACAGACTTTCCTGGAACAGAGTCGTATACCAGTTATGCATTACCTAAGTAACACCAAGGAACCTCAAGCTAAGAATTTAAATGTAGATCCCATCTGATAGACCTTTTAGGCATCTCCTAAGAATAAACTCAAAGCCTCTACAGAGGGCTTGGTGAAGGCCCCACAAATAATTTTTTCAAGAGCAATGACCGGAACATGATCATTGACACCAGGTACACAGGAAAACAAGGCAATATGAGTACTCGATAGCAGAAGCAGAACCAGTTGGAACAAACCTGAAAAGGCTTCAGACATTGCAATTATAAATGAAACAACTAAGGAAATTATAAAAAGTAACAGAGCAGACTTGAAAAGAACCAAATAGAGTTTCCAAATATAAAAATTATAATAGTCAAAATTTGAAACTCAGTGGTTGGATGTAATAACATTTTGCCCACAGCAAAACAAAGTACTAGTGAAATTTTTTAAAGAGTTATGAAAAAAATTCACAGAATGTACCACAGAGAGTCAGAAAATAAAAATTGAAAACATCTAACATGTAACACTCACATTAGATAGTGTGAGGTCTAATTTATATTTTCTTGGAATCCCGGAAGGAAATGTGGCAAAACTTTAGAAAAGACTGGCATTTAATTTCTGAATAGCAACAATGGAAACCCAAGAAAATATCATATGCAGAGACAAAATAACTACTCACTAGATTTCTAGAGCCACTAAAATATCTCTCAAGATAAGATGGTTATTAAAATAGCCCAAATTCAAAATCTAACTGTAACAAAACAATTAATCCTATCATCTTAATATTTGTCTGTAATTTTTCTCTTTACCTAGAATATATATATTCTTTTAACATAATTAAATTCCTTAATATAATAATGAAAATGTCAGATGAAATTAGACATACAGAAAATCACAGAATTCTCAGGACTATTTGGATCCTAGTTTCTTTAACTATAAAATAAGGTTTTGAACAAGATGATTCTTAAGGTTGTTTTTAGTTCTGCACATGGCTACTGCATTATTGCAGTAAAAATTTCATTTAGTTAAATCAGTGGCATAAGTAACTTGAAAAATTAAGTGCTCTATCAGAGTTGCAAGTGATAATCTATATTTACGTTATCAGGCTTAGAATATAAAATAGAAGATAAAAGATTCACAAGGCACAGAAAAGAGTCATTTCCCTCCTATATTAAGTGAATACATATCAGAAAAAATAACTTAATTAGGTATATTAAAACATTCTATTAATGAACCTGGAAAATTCTAACAGTACAGCAATGACTCATATAAGCACTGATACTAAGGAGCAAGTAACCTTTGTGCTACATGCAAATAGGGGATCTTTGTACATTTCACTACCCAAACACAGAAACATAGTTTTTATTTGGATGAAGGAAAAATAGTGTTAATGATCAAAAGTGTATGCTCACCTTGTAAAAACTCCTCCTTGCAAGCAATGAAGTAGAAGAAAACAATGCTGACTTTCTTGGCCTGCTTTTTTAAAATCAGCCTTGAACCAAGAATAACTAAAACACTGAACCACAAGTGTTCCAAAGAACATAAAGCTTACTGTTAAAATACCAAAAACATATTGTCCTTCATGGAAAAACCTGACAGACACCCAGATGTCCACAATTAAATCAGTTATATAGATTACAATGCCAAGAACTGACATCATAAAATTCAATTTAGTGTATTTCATTATGAATCACTATAGCTCTTGGTTAGCTGCTTTTCTCTCTCTCACACACACACAAAGAACAAATATTTGTGTCCATTAGGATAGCAATGAATTTTAGTTTCTGTTCCCTGAATTTATTCAGAAGAAAGAATAAATATTATGAGATTGGAACACTAAAACTAAAGTGACTAATTTTAATTTTCTTTTCTAAACCTCCTATCCATATCCAATGTTAAAAGTCTTCATTCAGTTTTCTCAATGATCTTCATTACAGATGACAACACCTAAAATGAAAGATACATAAAAGATTCTAAAAATCTTGAGTATAATATTAGTCCATGACTTTATCAAACATGTACTTTTTCTAAAAACAACATATTACCACTACATACAGTTCTTATAATAGCTTTGGTAAAGTAAAGCCTCAGAAATAAACTTATTAGTTGACAACTTCCTGTCAGACTACTTACCTTTTATTTTTTTATTGTTATTTTTTTTTTAATTTTTTTTTTTCAACGTTTATTTATTTTTGGGACAGAGAGAGACAGAGCATGAACGGGGGAGGGGCAGAGAGAGAGGGAGACACAGAATCGGAAACAGGCTCCAGGCTCCGAGCCATCAGCCCAGAGCCTGACGCGGGGCTCGAACTCACGGACCGCGAGATCGTGACCTGGCTGAAGTCGGACGCTTAACCGACTGCGCCACCCAGGCGCCCCCAGACTACTTACCTTTTAAAAACCATAACCTACTAACAAAAATATTTATCACTTGTCTATCTAAAGTGGCAAAAAACTAGAAATGATCTAAATGTGGCAACATAAGGAATTGGTAAATAATGGTAGATTCACAAAATGCAACATTACACAGCTACCAAAAAATATTTAACAAAGGTGCAACAGCTGTGAAAATTTTTAATATGGTTCTTAAATTTTATTTTAATTCATTAGTTAACACACAGTGTTATATTAGTTTCAGGTGTACAATATAGTGATTCAACTATTCCGTACATCACCCAGTGCTCATCACCACAAATTCACTTCTTAATCCCCCATCATCTATTTCGCCCATCCCCCCACCCACCTCCCCTCTGGTAACAATCAGTTTGTTCTCTGTAGTTAACTTTATATAGTTTCGATTCAGCAATTCCACGAATCAAGCCTAGGGAAATAGTCACAAATGTGTACAAAGATATGTGCTCTTTGCAAAACCTGTTTTTAGAACAGCAAAAAGTTGAAAACTATTTAGATGACAAGAGACCTAGTTCAAGAAGTTAATTTACCTCCATAGCAAAGAATATACTATGCAACTTTTAAAAAGAATGAAGCAGCTCTGTATAAATTGACTTCAGAAGATCTCCAAGATATGTTAAGCAAAAAAAGCAAGTGCCAGAAGGAAAAATATAGCATTTATGGTTTTCAATTATACATGGAGAAAGTAAGGAAGTTGGGAGTAGAAAGTAAATGCAATTTCAATCCTGTAATTAATTACTCTTTTATATTGTTGGAGTTTTTTCCAGAGACATGTACTCATGTATTACTTATATAATCTCTTAAAATACAAATAATAGTAAATGATACTTTTAAAGAATTTGAATGACTGGAAAAATGTTTATGCTACTAATGTTAGCTAACATTTACTTAGCCCTATGTGTCAGGCATTAAACTAAATCTTATACAAGATTTAGATGTAAGGTTAAATTTGATGTAAGATTAATTCTTACATGAAATTTAGGAGATAGGTACTACTATTATGACCCCTATTTTATAAATGTGGGCTGAATGCAATCCACAGACAAAATCTGTCTGACTTGAAAGATGCTCCCACATTTCGTGGGGTGTGTGTGTCTGGGCCCTTTGGACTGGCCAGTGGTGCTCTCTGGTAAAGGCATGGAATTGGTGGCTGCAGCCTCTAGGCTGGGTAGAAGCAGGGGACTTAAACCAGACCCAGAGCCAGAGCCAGTACAGTGGTAGCAAATGGATTGACCATTACTGCTGCAGGATTTGCAGGCTGTTATAATTTTGTAAGCCATAAACCATACGGAGCCTAAAGCAAAACAAGCTTTTCAAAATCTACCAAAATCTGCCTTCAGTGGTCGCTATTCAGAGGTGGGTTTGAACCCGAAATGACAAAATGAGAAGCAGCACTAATAGCAGGAGTAAGCTAAAAAAATAATAATAATAAAATAAAAATAAAAAATAAGTAGTAGGCATAAGCTCTACTGCCAATAAAGGAAAAACAAGAGATGCTCAGCAACGAATTACGATTTTAAATCACCTAGAAAAGAGAGGATCTCCTTATAGCAGCCAAAATCAATGAAGCTACAGATTTACTACAAGGTCAAGCTAAAAAATGAAGTAAATATGCAATGATTTTTTTTTAATTTGAGGGGGGGGGAGGGGCAGAGAGATAGAGAGAATCCCAAGCAGGCTCCATGTTCAGCATGGAGCCTGATGTGGGGCTTGATCCTGGGATCATAACCTGAGCCGAAATCAAGAGTCAGACACTCAACAAACTAAGCCACCCAGGTGCTGCATGTGCAATGAATTTTAAGTTCTTATTAGTTTATGTTTAAGAGTGCCAGCTTTTTATAATAAAATGTTTCAAAGCTACAAAAAAAAAGAAAAAGAAAAAAAGTTTGAGTCAACAGTGTTTTTTTTTTTAAATTTTCCTAAGTAATTGCCAATATTTCATATAAAAATCCAGATTTTTCACAGCTATCAAAAAACTGACAGATCTGCTACAATAGGCTAATATTCCTTCATTAGTAGTGGATGCCTCCTACTAATGGGGGCATGCTCTCTCAAGTTCACCACAGTAGCAAGCCACCTAACTTCAGTCATTTCAGCAGCTGGGTCTCAATGCTAATACAGCTACCTACTAGCTGTGTGTCCTTAAACATGTTCTTTTACCTGCCTATGCCTTATTTTCTTTCACCTGAAATATGGAAATAATAATGGCATATACCTCACAGGGTTGTTGTGAAAACTAAGAAAGGTAATATGTATAACACACATAAACCTCTAGCACTTGGCATACAGTTAGAGCTCAATAAATGTTAAGTTACCATCATTACCTTGCCTGCCTCCCTGATCCCTGTAAGCATCTGAGTTTGGCATCTTTGACTTCACTTTCAAGAATGTTAAGTAAAAATATGGGGCGCCTGGGTGGCACAGTCGGTTAAGCGTCCAACTTCAGCCAGGTCACGATCTCGCGGTCCGTGAGTTCGAGCCCCGCTTCAGGCTCTGGGCTGATGGCTCGGAGCCTGGAGCCTGTTTCCGATTCTGTGTCTCCCTCTCTCTCTGCCCCTCCCCCGTTCATGCTCTGTCTCTCTCTGTCCCCAAAATAAATTAAAAATCGTTGAAAAAAATTAAAAAAAAAAGAATGTTAAGTAAAAATAAATACTGTGGCATATTCTTATGTTGAAGTACTAACCACCAGTGTGACTGTATTTAGAGATAGGCCTCTCAGGAGGTAATTAAGTTTAAAAGGAATAATAAGGACAGAGCCCTAATCCAATAGGACTGATGCCCTTATAAAACAAAGTGACAGAGGTGCCTGGGTGGCTCAGTTGGTTGAACATCCGACTCTAGCCCAGATCATGATCTCGCATTCATGGGTTCAAGCCCCATGTGCTGACACAGCCTGGAGCCTGCTTCAGATTCTGTGTCTCCCTGTCTCTCTGCCCCTCCCCCTGCTCGCACTCTGTCTCTCCCTGTCTCTCAAAAAATAAAATAAAACGTTAAATTTTTTTCAATGAAGTGACAGCACAGACCTATCTCCCCCACACACCCTCCTCCCATACACTCACATGAGGACACAGCAAGAAGGCAGTCATCTGCAACCAACAAAAAGAGGACTCACAAGAAACCAACCCTGCTGGCAACATGATATTGGACTTCTGGACTCCAGAACTGTAAACAATTAATTTCTGTTGTTTAAGCCACATAGTCTGCGGTATTCTGTTATGGCAGCCTGAATAGACTAACACCTGATATGCTCTACAAAGAACATTTATTACTTTAAAAACCAGGAAGGGGCAATGTTACTAAAAACACACACAACCCAATACTTACAGTGTTCTCGTTATTTTACCACATATAAGTATTTTGTTTAAAAGTCTTCAAAATTATATTAAAAGGTATTTCACTCTTCTTACAGAAAAAAAAAAAAAAAAAACAGGCTATTACTACTTTTCCTGTCAAGAATGCTGTGGCCAACAGGATAGAAAAAAATAATTTTAAAATCTGAGTTTTCCCTATCCAGCAGGCCATGAATTTCCCTGCAGTATGCTTCTTATTTTAAAATGAAAGACATCATGCCCAACATAAGCACGGAGTTTAGGAGGATGAGATTTAATCAGAAGGTTCTGTTCAATTGAATTAAATACTTACTTAGAACCTACCATGTGCTATTTTAGGCTTTTGGGATATATCAAATGACAAAAGAGACAAAAATTCCTGCCCTTGTGGAACTTACATCCTAGCAGAGGAAGACAATCAATTAACAACAAAAATAGTAAGTGAATGAAATATTATACTGGAAGGTGATAAGTATTATGGAAAAAAACACAACTCTAGGAGTTGAGAGTAGAGATAGGCTCATCATGAGTTGAAATTTTATTTTTTTAATTTTTTAAATATTTACTTATTTTTGATAGAACACAAGGTGGGGGCGGGGGAGGAGAAGAGAGGGAGACACAGAATCTGAAGCAGGTGCCAGGCTCTGAGCTGTCAGCACAGAGCCTGATGAAGGGCTCAAACCCACAGACCATGAGATCATGACCTGAGCTGAAGTCAGTCCCCCAACTGACTAAGCCACCCGGGTGCCCCCCATCATGAGTTGCAATTTTAACTTAGAATAGTCAGGACAGGCCTCACTGAGGAGGTAGACAAATGAGTAATGAAATTAGTTATGTCTATATCATGTGGAAAAGTTTTCCAGGTGAAAAGAACAGCTAGTTTGAAAATCTAATGTACTAGATTTCAAATATATCCTCCAGAAACAAAAGCTCCACCAAAAATTGGCAAATTCCTTACCATGGTCATACTGGATGTGTTCAATGTGCATCCAAACCCTGTTCTAATATCATTCTAAAAAATATAGTATTTTTGTAAGTTTTTATTTAAATTCTAGTTAATATATAGTATATAATATCAGTTTCAGGAGAATTTAGTGATTCATCACTTACATGTAACACCCAGTGCTCATCACAAGTGCCCTCCTTAATACTGATCACTCATTTGGCCCATCCCCCGCCCACCTCCCCTCCAGCAACTCTTAGTTTATTCTCTATCAATAAGAGTCTCTTATGGTTTGCCTCCCTCTTTTTTTTCTCCCTGCCCTTATGTGCATCTGTTTTGTTTCTTAAATTCCACATATGAGTGAAATCATATGGTATTTGTCTTTCTCTGACTGACTTATTTTGCTAGACATAATACACTCTAGCTCCAACCACATCACTGCAAATGGCAAGATTTCCTTCTTTTCGATGGCTGAGTAATGTTCCATTGTATAGATATACACATCTTCTTTATCCATTCATCAGTCAATAGACCTTTGGGCTCTTTCCATAATTTGGCTATTGTTGATAATGCTGCTGTGAACATCGGGGTGCATGTGCCCCTTCCAATCAGTATTTTTGTATCCGTTTTGGGTAAATACCTAGTAGTGCAATTGTTGGGTCACAGAGTAGTCCTATTTTTAATTTTAAAAATGAAATTTGTTAAGCTTCACTACCTAGGGAAAAGAATATCACATATATAATGGAAGAACAGATAATAGTAACAATAGCTACCACTGCTGAGGGTTTACTATGTGTGAAGTATTTTTAGACACATTTTATTTAATACTCACAAATCTCTATGAGAAGGGTATTATTGGCCAGAATTCTGAGGCTTGTGAGTTATCTCTAATGAGTAAACTGACTTTAATGTAGATAATTTCCTTAACGTTACAGACCTAAGCACTCCATGGGTACATTTCTTAATCACTATCCCCACAAAGATAGTTTCCTTTACCTGGCCTGGATATGGAAATCACTTGCAATTCTGAAACAAATTTTACAAAATGGCAAAAATAATTTCTAAGTTATTGGCAAAACATCAGACTCAATAGACTGATCTGACATGGCAACTTCTATAATCTTAACTTAGGCAGAACGTAATGCCAACTGGAAAGAAAACTACATAGCAAGGAAATAAACATAGCAGCTCTCATAAAGAGGCTCTCCAGCTCCTTCAATGACCACATAGTTGTATAAATTATATAAAGGATGGTTCCTATCTATCCCTACAGTATAATCACTGTTCCATTTATCACCTTAGGACAAATAATACCACCTACAAAATTTGACTTCATAGAGAATTTGTGATACGTGCTGACTTAATAGGACAGTTTCAATCCAATTTCAGTCAAAGGTCAACCCAGCTATGTGGCTAACTGGCTGCCAGCCAAAATAAATAACCTTTGCCCGCTGTGTGGGAACTCTTTGCAATAATCCAGACATCCGAAGAAATAAAAACTAGCAAACTTTTGTTTGTTAACCAAATTCAATACATATAAAATACAGACTTACTTGCCAAGTATAAAAAGCTGTCTTTAACTCAAAGTCCCTTCTGGAAAATCTTCATCCTTGGCATCTTTTATTTCTTCTTCACTGAAAATAAGTGTCATTAAAGGGTATGTAAACCTTTAAGATCGAATACTAAAATGAAACTGAAATCATCTGTTAGTCATATTATGGGATTTCCTCATCTAGTGATAACAGAGTTTATGTCACTGGAACTTACAGTACACCCTTTCATAACTATCACATTGGGAGAAGGAATCACATGGCCCCTTTTATAAGTTAACTAGGTTACCAGGTTTTACTGTATTCAAAATTTAAGTTTCAAGAAAATACAATTTGCTTCCCAGCATATCCAAGTAGATGACAAGTGTATGAAAAGGAAGGAGAGAGATTGTTCAATTTGAAGTACTCTGATAAAGAAATTTATGAAGTATTTTTAACTTAGTGCCACCTACCTTTTTCAAACTATATACCTTCTCAAACCCTATGCCCCAAGAACATATGATTACTGGTTTCTCTTCCCCAAATAAATACTACAGTTCTTCTATTTCCAAGCCTTTTCTCAACATTATTTACTGTTTAGAATACCCTTCCTACCTCCATCTATCTGATCAAGTTCTATCAGTCCTTTAAGAATCAGTTCAAAGCCCTACCACCTTTAAGCTTTCCCAGATCTTCCCAGTTAATTTGATTCTCCCCTTCCCCCTTGCAATCCCACCACTTCAACTATACTTCTCTAGGATTTACCCACACATGCTTTAAAATAAGATAATGTATGTCTCCTTCCTAGTTATAAACCTCTAGAAAGCCAACTAACATTTTTAACACCCCCCCATATGTCTACAACAATACGTTGCACATTGTAGGCAGATGATAAATGATTGTAAATAAATTAACTGAACAGAATATAAAATATTTCATCTTATTTCTTGAAGAAGGGCTTTAACTTCAAGTCACATTTCTAAACATATACACAAAGACAATTTTGTATCAGCAGCCTAGAACTCTTCTGAGCTCAACACATATATCCAACTGTCTATATATTTCTTTACCAGAATATCCCATAATCATCCTAATTTCAGTTTGTCCAAACCAAGTTCACTACCCAATCTCTGTTCCTCCTCTTCTGCTGGTGTCTAAGGTCTCAAATCAAGTCACTCAACTTTTATATTATTTGTTGGGTCCATTCTCTGCCAAATGAAGAGCTTGGCAACAGATTAAAAGAACTTGAGATGGAACCCACAAAGGAAAGTCTAACTTAAAACAAAAAGTCAAGGGATAGAAGAATGGAGCTGCCCACAAGTCCCAGAAATTATTGTTCCACCATTTTCTCAAAGGTTGGCTGACTTTCCAGCTCAGGGATTTTAAAAAAGGAAAATGGAAGTAGCTTCCTGACTGAATACCCATTAAGTGATGGCTACAAATAAATAAAATTGGGAAGTTGAAAATGCCTGATGTGGGGAATTTTTATGATTCTTCCAAACATTTTTTTTTAAGGGCATATTGCCAGCCTTCCTATTACAACGGGGATAATTTACGTGATTATTTCAGCAAAGGTTTTTGAAACACTTTTCCATTAAAAGTACATCTTTGAGACACAAGGCAAAGAAAATGTTATACATGATACAGGTGTGTCTTTCAAGAAATCTGGAATAGTAAACTAATGATTTGCAAAATAAATATTGTACAAATTAATAGCAGTCTTTTCTTCAGAAATACCCGCAAAAAAAAAAAAAAAAGTTAAACTGTGTTTCCTAAATTTTAGAACCACAAGCAACTACTGTCAATTTCTCATTTGTTTTGAAAAAGAAGTGGGCTGGGACAGTGAAGATGACCTAGATCGCTTTTGAGGTAGGGCTTACAGACGATTGTCGTAACTCAATGAAACTGATCATAGGATCTGTGCATTTCCTTTTAGGTAACTTGTAACTAGATTTTTTTTTTTTTTTTAATAGGTAGCAGTGGTTAATACTGGGATAGTTAGTGCTGAACAGCTTAGAAATGGACTCCTTATAGAGAAAATAACTCCCTTAGGTCTTAGGCACACAACTCCTCACGGCCGACCAAGGTGTCTGGGCAGGAACACGGCCCGCGGAGGGAGTGACAAGCTCCTTGAACGTGACCAGATGGGGGCAAAGCAGCAGACGCTGAGCGGGGGTTCATAGCTGTCACCTGGGCAAGTCTCCAAATCGTTTTTCATTTGTAAAGCGGCCATAAAAATAGCGCCTACGTCTTAATGTTGTGAGGGTTAAATAGTGTCTAGAGAAAGCACTCAGCATAGCAGTAAGGACGAAGTAAATATTAGCTGCCGCTATTATAAAAGATTCACAAGCTCCTTCTCCCTCACACACACACTCACACACCGCCATGGCCTAAAAACGAGAGGCCAATGTTTTGTAACCAACCCCACACCTGCCTGCCCTTTGCTCCACTACAAGACTTCCTGGGTTAAAACGTCTCTCGACCACTGAGATGAACTCGCCTGTCTGGACACAAATCCCTGTGAAGGCACCAGGCTCTGTGACAGGCGACAGCGCCCGACGAGCCGGAACCCAACCCGGCCTCAAGAGGCCTCGAGCCACGCGCCTTCGCTCGCCCGCCCTCCCGCCAGTGCCGGCGCAGCCCGGGAGGCGTCCTTTGACCTCTGGCCCCGCCCCCAGCACAGCTGAGTTCTCCTCCCGTCGGGCGAGCGCGGCGTCAGCTGACTGCCGGCCCCGCCCCGAGCCTAGTCACCAGTTCCGCGCTCAGGTCTCCGCGCGTCGGCGGGTGGCGGAAACCGAGATGTCGACTATCCTGCAGCGCATCGAGCGGCTGTCCAGCAGGGTGGTGCGCGTTCTGGGCTGTAACCCGGGACCCATGACCCTGCAGGGCACCAACACCTACTTGGTAGGGACCGGCAGCAGGTAAACGTCCCTCTTCCTCTCCGACAAGCACCCGGGCCTGCGGGACACACGGAACTGGGGTTGCGACGACTGCTCGCCGGAGACGGAGAGGCTGTGAGCCGGCACCCTGGAGCTCGGTGACCTGCCCGGGCCAGGCTGCCCCACTCAGGACCACCGTCAGATGCCCCGATTCCAGCCATCCCCTAAATCACTGTAGTACCGGGTGATAGCCCCTCTAACTGACAAATAGCCGATGGGGGAGAAATAATGGAGGAGGGGGAACCTTCCTGTTTTTGAAACCCCACTTACTTTGCTTGATGTTGAATGTCAGAGTGAGTGTATTTAAGATATTGAGAAATTAGGATCGCCTAGAGTTAGTAATCCAGAAAAGCGTTTACTTTGCTCACCTTCTGCCTTTGACCTAGTGTTTTGCTCAGAGTATAACTTGCCCTTCACGAAAGTAGATTTCCTGTGCTGAGACCTTTTTCTTAATTCAGCAGCAGAGGGCAGGATTTTCTTGCTTGCAAATTGCTCAAGTCTAGAGCCCCCCCCCCCCCCCCCAGCTCTTGGGAAAGAGGAGCCCACTAACAGATTTTGGGTTTTGTTACTATTGTGTGGCCTCATTTAAGTTATTTTGTTGGTGGAATAACCTATCTGTATTTCTAAGATTTTTCTCTTATTCAGCTGCATTGTTTTAGTGTAATTCTGCAGAAGTGGGGAGGTGTTGTACTGCACAAATGTGCATTGAACAGTTTTTGTAGGCTTCGTCTTTAGTATATATCCTATGTAATACAAAATAAAAATAAGATAATAGTTTTCCTTGAACCTAGAATTTAATCGTATATTGCAAGATGTGATTTCTAAAAACAGTTTAGTAAGAATAATTGGAGTTTTCATTTGAAGTGTCTGCTGTATTTGCTGAATGTTAGATGGAGCAGGATGAAAGGAAGTGGAAGTATTAAAGTCAGGAAAACAAAACTTAAGGAATCGGAAATGCTAAAGTCAGGAAAACAAAACTTAAGTTCAGAGTAACAAGGTAGGATCAAGTAGGTACAAAAGCTTTGCTTTGGGCTGCCTCCAGAACTAGAAGGATAGAAAATTCAGCAGAAAACATACCTCAGACCTAGGATAGACTCTGTCTTGGCTAGGACTCCCTCACCCCAGGAAGTCCCTAGGCATTTCTTCTCTCTTCAGCGTGTCATCTTAAACTAGTTCCCACGTCAGTACCATGATAAAATGGAATATAGTCAGAATTACCCTGAGAAGTCTCTTAGGAGGCACTAAGTTGGAGGTCGTGTACTATCTAACAATGAGTTCAGTGCAGCCTGCTTTTCTTCCAGCAATGAAGCAGATGGCTGGTTCTGTTTGAAAACCAGATGACGAAGTTGGCTTGCATTTAGGGGCCATGTTGTATGAAAAATACATACTGTATCTTTAAACACTGGAATCACTTTCACTGTAGCAGAGTGCTTATGGTAAAAGGGACATAGAGAACCTGGAAGTGACTAAGGGAAACCTTCATAGTCTCCCACTTTATACTGCTTATGTTACCACTCACGTCAACTCATGGGGTGAAATAGCCAGTGGAATCGCTCATATATGACATATATATGACGAATTCCTACAGTGGAGCTAGAATAACGTGCAGATGATGTTACTCTACTGTATAAAGTAGAAGTCAGGTGGCAAGAGATGAATATTAATTTGGTACAAGTAAGAGATCAGATATTGGTATCCACTTGTTCTGCACAAAACAGTTCTAAGATCACAGGTGGTGCTTATATCACCAAACCTAATGATATTTCTCCATTCGTATCTTACTTGGACTTCAGTACCTTTTGACACTATTGACCATTCCCTCGATTTACTAACACCACAGTCTCCTGGTTTCCTCTTACCTCTCTAGCTATTATTTCTCAATCTTCTTTATAGAATCAGCCTCTTTACCAGATCTTTAAGTGTGTGAGTTCCTCAGGATATAATCGTAGTTTCTCTTCTATTCTCATGCTATATTCTCTATCTAGGGGACCTTGTCTACTTCCTTGGCTTCACGTATTATCTATCCATTAATAGCTCCCAACGTTATAGCTCCAGTTTAGGTGAAATACAAACTTGATCTTCAGACTAGGATATCCAGCTCCTTTTCTTAAATCTCTACTTGGATGACACAGCCACTTGAAACTCAGTGTTTCACAAGCTGAACTCC